GGTGACCAGGATCACACAATCACAGTTCACAGTACAATGGGATTTTTTTTTTTTTTATCCCAAAGTACGTTATTTTGAATGGGCTCTGGCAGTATTCAGAACAAACCAGTAGGTAAAGTGGACACACACACCCCACCTATCCCACCCTGCCCTATTTCACACATGAGCAAGTAGCTTAGAGTCATTAAGAAACTTACCCCCCAGAAAAGAAACTTACCAGATTTGTAAGGTAGAATTGGGGTCATGATAGTGGGGGGTAGGGAGTGTTTAAGAACGAGAGGAAAATCGTACGTTTCATTGTTGCTACACTGCACCCTGACTGGCTCGTCTCCTCCCCCAGACCCTTCGGTAACGGGATGTCCAGTTGCCTACAGTTGGGCTTTGGGTCCGCACTCCCCCTCATTCACAATGATATGATTTTTTCTTCTTTGATGCCTGATACCTGATCCCATCGACACCTCGTGATCACACAAGCTGGTGTGCTTATTCCATATGGGTGTTGTTGCTTCTCAGCTAGATGGCCACTTATTTGTCTTCAAGCCTTTAAGACCCCCAGACGCGCTATCTTCTGATAGCTTGGCACCATCAACTTTCTTCACCACATTTGTTTATGCACCTACTTTGTCTTCAGTGAGTGTGTCGGGAAGGTGAGCATCATGGAATACCAGTTTTATAGAACAAAGTGTTCTTGCATTGAGGAGTACGTGAGTGGAGGCCCAATGTCCATCTGCTACCTTAATACTAAACCTATAAATACATGCACATAGATTTATTTCCCCATCGTCATATATAAATATATTTACATAAGTACATGCCTGTATTTAGACCTCTATAAATGCCCTTTTGCTCAGGAAATCCAGGACAGATGAACCCTTCAGGACCACTGGTGAGAGAGGCGATACTGGGAGGGTGGGTAGGGAAGGTTGCATAGAAAGGGGGAACCAATCACAAGGATCTACATATAACCCCCTCCCTGGGGGACGGACAACAGAAAAGTGAGTGAAGGGAGACGTCGGACCATGTAAGACGTGATAAAATAATAATAATTTATAAATTATCAAGGGTTTGAGAGGGAGGGGGGCAGGGAGGGAGGGGGAAAAATATGAGGAGGTGATACAAGGGCTCAAGTAGCAAGAAAATGTTTTTAGAATGATGATGGTAACAAACGTACAAATGTGCTTGACACAATGGTTGTATGTATGGACTGTGATAAGAGTTGTACGAGCCCCCAATAAAGTGATTTTTTAAAATATACATAAATAAAAAAACTCTCTCATTGAATTCAAAAAAAGAAAGAAAGTTACCCCAACAAGTGGCAGAATTGGGATGTGAGCTCAAGGTAGGGTGATTTTAATTTTAGGAACCTGGAAGACAGAGGATCATGGAGGGAACTTTTTGATAGGACACCTTGGAATTCTACTTGAAGGATAAGGAAAAGATTTAAAGAGTACTCTAGAGTGTTGGCCAAGCCAGGGTACAGGATTGCAGGACCTGGACAACAGGAAAGGTGCTTGGAGACAGAGCAGGCCGGGACCAGACCAGGCATTTGCCCTTTACTGGACTTCATTTGGGAAAAAGTGGGCAGCCACTGTGGGTAATAAGCAGAAGAGAAACATCACATTGTGTTGTGATTGTGTGTGTGTGTGTGTGTGTGTGTGTGTGATTTTATACAAATCATACAAAGGCCACAAATGAAGAAAAGCATAACTGGAGGTCAGGGCAGGTGTCCCAAGGCTCCCTCCCCTTGCATCGCTGTCCCCCACCAACGAGGAAGCTCATGGAGATCCAATGCCCTGTGCTTTTGCTGGGGTCTTACCCTCAATTAACGGAATCATTTCCCACGGGGTAAACCTTGAGTTCCAACATCCCAAATCTGAGGTTGGGCTGATATAACCTGGGGGGTCTCTATTAGGGCTAGCCCTCACCTAACATGAATCTATCTCATTAAGAAAAGCCCACATATGGATTGTGATAAGAGTTGTAGGAGCCCCCAATAAAATGATTTTTTTTAAAAAGGCCCTCCCGTTTGATCTGGAGCTCTTATGAATAACAAAGACTCCATTCACTGGGGAAATGCCAAGGTTTTAGAGGCTGTCTCTCAGGAACCCAGGACAAAGACCAATTCTGTGGATAAAGTTCAGTGTAAACTTCACAAGAGCAAAGAGTGGGTGTGGGTGATGGGGGCTTATTGAGATCGTCTAAAGAAAGAGAAGGAAGGAACATAGAAGATAACCCAGGATCAAATTCCAGGGACCTGTGACATTTAAGGGACCAATGAAAGACAAACCCTTGAATGAGAGAAAGGGAGGGACTATTTGCGAATGAGAAGAGATTAGCAGCATAGAAACCAAGGAAGGAAAAATTTGATGGGAGCTCTATGGTAACAGGGCCTAATGCAACAGAAAGCATATTAAAACTGCAACATTACTATTGCATTGAGCAATTAAACCAATTTCATAAAATCAGTCTCTGGGAATATGCAGGGATGGGTCAAAAGAAACCAAACGAAAGGTTTAAGGAGCCCTGGTGGTGTAGTAGTTATGTATTGGGCTGCTAACCACAGTCAACGATCCAAAACTACCCACAGCTCTGGGTAAATAGCTGCGGTCTTGGAAACCCACAGGAGCCCTGGTACCTGGTCCTCTAGAGTCGCTAGGCGTTGAAGTGGACTCGATGTCGTGAGCTGTGTGTCTGTGCTAAGGTGTGGATGCAAGGACTGTGAACTGCTCTCTGACTGTAATGGTAGGTGCTTAGGCTAAGGAGCCTGGGTGGTGTGGTGGTTAATTAAGCATGGCCAATAATCGCAAGGCCAGCGGCTCTGGAGAAAGATGACGCTTTCTACTCCCCTAAAAGAGTTACGATCTAGGAAACCCACAAGGTAGCTCTTCCCTGTCTTATATGGCTGCTATGACTCAGACTCCACTCGGTGGCAGTGCGTTGCTTGTGCATGCTTTGGGGGTCTTCACGTTTATCGGCGAACCAGCAAGTGTTGCGGGTGGGAGCCCATTCCTGCAGTGGTTATGACGCTGTCCACAGCTTGGGTGCTGACAGACCTGTCTGTCTCCTCCAGAAGGGGCTGGGTCAAAATCAGTAATCTTCTGGGGGCAGGAGTCCTGTTTCTGGGAGGAAAGGACAGAGGTGAATGACAGCATCCCTCTCTCATGTTCCCTCTTTGTGGGTTCCGGAACCAAAGCCTGCCTCGTCGAGGGGACATCTCCAGTCATTTCTTGTTGGCCCCACGGGCTCTTGAAGATCAGCCAGCGAGCAGGAAAGAAGGGGGAGGATTGTCATTTGTGTATCTGTTACTCATTTGGTATATGTTAAAGGCCAGTTTTGTTCCAAGAGTACAAAGGACCAGAACAGATTCTTGTCTTCAGGAAGTCAGGGCAACCAGGAAGACCAGCCCTCGGGCAATGCGTGCCAGTCGGTGTGAGGGGAGCTGATCGAAATCTGTCTAGGGAAAGGGGGTGCGGGTAGCAGACGGCTCAGTTGAGGTGACCCCTGATAATATGAGTGGCCATTTGGCTAAGCGATGGAAGGCCCCAGAGACCCAGTAGGGGCTCTGCTGGTCTAGCAGTGCAAGTCAGTCATCAGATGATGGTTGCCCCAGATAAAGGGGGGAGTCTCTGCATCACAAGCCTTTTGTCAGTCACATCTTTATCCAATATGTCTTTATGCCTTCTATATAATTTTACATGCCATCGACTTTTCTTAATGGTAGGGAACGTCACAGGCTTCCTGAATAATCTCCAGACGCCACTCAACTTTCATCTGACAGCTTCTTCATGCCTCCTGCAAAGGCAATTGGCTCAAGACTCAGTGTGGGATTCAGAAGATGAGAGTTGCCATGCTTACCCTGGCTCAAGAACTCAGCAGATGGTTCCTTTGGGCAAAACGGGTCGTGGGCTTGCGAAAGAGGTGCATTTCCTGCCCCTCTCGTTCCTGTCTTTTGCAGAGAGCACCTGTGTTCACCAGGTTGTGGGAGCAAAGTCAATGTGGCCCTGCTGTCAGCATAGTGCTGACGATCCCTTCCTGTGGGCGTAGTCTCCCAGAAGAAGGCAATGGCGGGGACGCCGGCAGCTCCTTGACCACTCTCTGTCTAGCACTGCTCTTATCTCACTCTTTTGGCCTTTGGCCTTTCAGCCCTGCCATGGCTTGTCAGTGGCCGGATGGTGAGTTTCGTCAAAGCAGAGACTGAGTCTCCCTCTCCTCTCCTCCAGTAACGAGGACAGTGGTCACTGATAGGTCGTTTAGGGTGAGGACGTAGATTAAAAGTACAATAGTCTCATGGTTCTGCTGGCAGTTTGTTTCCCAGTGGAGTTCACGGCCTGGAGCTTCCTGCGGAGGATGGGATTGCCCAGAAGTGCTGTTGTTCATGACTTGCACTTGGCTCCCTTCTGATCTGTTACGCTCAGGGAAATGGGGGCAAGGCCTTGGCCAGGGAAGGTGTTCTGAGGATCTGTATTGACACCGTGAAGTTTTCTCATCTGCAGATCCCAGAATCCTGGCAATATGAGGATATCGACGCGAGCTTCAGGGAGAACCCTCTTTCAATCTCTCATCTTTGCAGTAGGGAAGTTGGTTTTCCGTTGCTTCAACAACTGGCCAATGAAAAATATGCTCACAGCTTGTAGCAGCTCCTGAGGGTCTCTGACCCCTTCTGTCCTCCCTTCCCCCTTCCCTGCGGAAACCCAGTGTTCCGAGGAGGGTTGGTTTTCTGAGCCAAACTGTGGAGTTGGGAACGTAGGGAAGGGCAGCTCAGCAGACACTGGTCTGTGTGCTGCTGCAGTCACTTGCCGGAACTCACTCTCTGCTCAGGAGGGTGCGTGGCTGCTCTCTGCTGTTCCCACAAAGCACTCGGCTTCCTAACTGTTGTCAGGAAGGCAGCTCATTACAGATTTTGACCCTCTCCGTGTGTGTCGCCCCTCCCTGATGACACGCGCCTTTGTCCCTTCTCCTTGCGTTCCAGCCGAGAGAAGACAAACTTCACTTCTCTGACATCCGAGAGCATCGTTCACAAGTGTTGCGCGATCCCTGACTTCCATCAGGGCAGAGTTACAGGTCCTTTGCCGGCGCGGGGAGGGGGCAGTCCAACAGAATCCGCCCAGCAGAGGAGGAAGCCACCACACACTGCCAGCCGAAAGGATGTCTCAGTAAGCGTTTAGACACGATCCAGTCGGTGGTCAGCGGCACAGGAGGCTATGGGGGTGGGGAGGGGGGAGGCAATGGGCACCACAACGGAAATCACCGCAGACCCACTGAGTGTGGCAGCCCAGGACGCAGATGATCTCTCCAGGAAAGCCTTGGCTGCAGCTCTTCTGAACGAGAACTCGGAGTAGGGAGGGGAGAGCAGCCCCCCAGATGTGAGTAGAGTCTGTCTTTCATGCCGGGTGGGAAGCAGGGGGGCTAGGGGCGCTGTTGTAACTGACCCTAACCCTAGCCATCCATTCCTGGGGGGCTGTGGTGTCTCGGGGCGGGGAGTGGGGGTGGGGGGTGCAGCACGCCTGGCTGGGGCTTTTGTTTGCAAATCCCTCGCAGACCATTTTGCCTGTCAGGAGACGAATGGACGTAGTGCCTTTGGGATATGGGGAGTGGGAGTGGGAGACTCCCCCAGGAAAACTGCAAAAGCACATCTCATCAACCCTTGGCGATGAGGGGAGAAACAGATCGGCATCGCAAGCAGCTTTGTCACCCTTGGCCTTTGTGAGGCGACCTGGGAGACTTGGCAAACTGAAGGACAGAAGGACCGGGAGGAGGGGCAGTGGGCCGGAGGAGCGAGGGTGACCTCTCACAGAAGCCAGATTGCTTCCCAGAGTCAAGGTGTTGGTTGCATTGTCTCCTTCCTGCCTAAGAGCCAGCAGAGGGAAAGGGATCCTCCTGACAGAGGGGTGTGATGGATCGGCTCGGGGGCGGGAGAAAGAGGTGCCTCCCCTCCCCCCAGCACAGGGAAGTTTCTGACCCATAGTTGACCCACTTGGAAAGAGGAGGCGTAGATTCTGTGAGGGCATGGTGCTGCTGTGGCCAGGGTACCCAACAGGTAGGCAGGGAAGTTAAACTGGTTGGTCACAGACTGGTCACCTTGGCGCTCCTCTCCCCTCATTGTCAGGGTGGGGGTGAGAGGAGGTGTTGCCCCTTGCTTCCCCATCCCCCATCTCCATCTGGCCTGCTCTTTCACTTCAAAGGCAGCTGAGGAAAAGCAGTGTGTCTCCTCTGGGCAAAAGGATGGGAGGGTGGGGCGTTGCTCTAAAGCAGCGGCATGGAGACCAGGATCATGGATGTGAACGATGGACAGGAAGCTGCTTAGTGGCGGCCTTGCTGGTCCCGCACGGTGACAGGAAGGTGCAGAGGAAAGGAAGGAAGGAAGACTTGGCCCCTTGGATTCTCTCCCCACCCCCACGCCAGTGTGCACAGGCAGCTGCAGGTGAACGCTGGAGGTCCCAGCCGGGAGAGCACTGCTGGGTTCCCAGTGAGGGAACCTGAGCAGTCCAAGCACCTGGTGGTGGTGTGAGACACCAGGACCCGGGGGACACTGCTCCTGATCTTGCAGGCAGTTGTCTGTGCAGATCTGGTGGGGGCAGTATCTAAAATCCCATGTCAACCATTTGCCCTGGAGCCCGCGAGGTGCCTTATCTGGCAGACTGGATTCATGGTGGTGTGGAGAGGAGGGGGTGTGGGTAAGGCATGAGGGGGAGCAGTCTTCACTGTAGTAACTGAAAAAACAAAAGTTAGAACTTGAAATTTCTGCTTGGTCAGCATTTCTCATAATTGGAGTGCTTGTCTATCTCGAAAACAAGACCCAACAAGAAGACCAAAGTCAATTCTCTAATCAAGGACATCACAGTCACATGCAAATATGGCAAGCCGTGTGCCAGGAGGCTACTTTCTCAATGTCTGAGAGGCTGAACTTGTGGTGGGGACAGAAGGTTGCGATGGGTGGAAGTCAGTTTACCTGTCAGTACAGTGAACCCTCGTTTATCGCAGTTAATCGGTTCTAGACCCTACCGTGATAAATGAAATTCCGCGAAGTAGGATTCCTTATTTGTAAATCAAATATTTTCATAGTTAGA